ATGGCATAACTTCTGGCCCAGAAGGTGGGATGGCTGCATCAACATTCACCAAGAGGGGCTAGAGTATAAGAGTTACAAGGGGAAATTACATCTTTCCAGTCCTCAGTGCCTGGAATGTCCTTGCTGTCCCTGGCAAGTAGAACGTATTCTTATGTCCCTGGAACCTGAGAGAATGCTGTCACTTTACATATTCAAAATGGTTGACCTGCTTGTAAACATTTCAAATGGCTGCACACTCCAGATAGCCACATTTCACAGCTTAGCCCATCTCCCTCTTCGCGGCCTCCTCTTTCATTCACCAGCCACCAGTGCAGTCCTCCAAGCAGCCCCTGGCTAGCAGGGCTGATTTTTGGGTTAGTTCTTAGGTCCTAACACCACTTGGCAATATCCAAGCTGTCCATGACATCAGGATCACTGACAGCCCACAGCTCCGTACATCTCCTTTTTTGTTGTTTTTGTGCAGGTTTTTTCAACTAGTTGGAGTTTAGTGCACTTCTGTATCCTTCCTTTCAGGATTCTCTTCTGTATCTGTGTTAATTGGTTCCCCTTTTCTTTGTTGAAGAAAGTCTGTATAGTTTGTCTGCCTATTCCACCATCTTACTGGAACCCAATCCGTAGATTATTTTTTAATGGAGCAAACTGGTTTTTTTTTTCTTCAATGAATCAAATCATTTAAATATATTTCATATAACCGAGTCACTTTAATATACATTTTGGTATTGTTCTTTCTTTCTGGTGATATTGTTTTAAACTGTTGGCAATCATTCATTTATATCTCAGTGAGGATGAGTTTCAGATACTTTTCTTAGTGTAGTGTTTCTGGTCATGAAGAGGAAGCAAGGAAGACACGGAATCTCAAGAGAACTCTGAACACCTGTGTCTTTGCAGTGTGTTTGGTGATAGGGACTACTTAAGTAAGGTAATGGGGACTTGAGGAATTAAATACAAATCTTATACTCAGTTTTTCCTGTAGGCTGTTGGGAATATATCATTTCTGACAAGGAACATTTTAAGTCACAATTTCATTATAACATTTTAGACATTTTCAAGGAGTTCTAGGAGGTAAGAACTTTTTTTCCCCTCAGAGATTCTGTCTACATATGGAAAATAAATTAGAAAACAGAAGTAATTATCTCTTCACATATTCTCTCAGCAAAAATATCACTTTTGCCTCAATGAATTGAAAATTTTATGTGTAGCTGTTTATGAAATATGATTTACCTTAATATTCTGTACTTTCTCCTCTTATAGGCAGTAACAGTTTCATGAAGTTTTATTGCATAAAATTGTAACAACTAGTAGATATTTTTGTTACCCTATATGTTCTAAACTATAGGTGTAACAAGGCCAATTATAACTTAAATTCATATATCACATTTAGAAATAACATGGATTTTAGGAATAAAAATTAATCAAGCAATTTTTCAATATGTTATCCAATTGAAATCTAACAGTGCCTTTTATTCCAGTAAAATTGCACAGAGGAACAAAATACAATTTCCTAAATTAATTATCTTGAACCAAAGAGTGCAAATCTTCAGCTACAGAAGTGAAAGACACCACTAGGATTTTCAACTATGAAACCACTTTCAGCTCTGTTGAATGTTTCTTTCATATGCTTCAGCAAAAAGAGCATTATAATGTTTTCCGTGTGGATTAAGGATAAAACTGTAGAAAAATAAGCAGCTTGGTTAGATAAATACGTCAGAATCGAGAGATTCAATATCTGCATTTACAGCTTTAATTTATGATAGTTAACTGGCTAAATTTGGAATTGGATTTTCATTATCTAAATTGATTACTGTAAAGAAAAGAATAGAGTTATTTTGCCTTGACTGGAGATTGTGGGAAAGTATTTGCTAAAGTTAGAGACAATTTTTTTCTTTACTTTTTCTTTGTAAATCTCTCTATTTTAGCCATCTGAATTGCCAGCCAATCACAGAATCCTAAACCAGTTACAATGTTGTTGTTGTTGTTATGTGCCGTCCAGTCAAACCCGACTCATAGCGACCCCTCCTTGGGTTTCCAAGGCAGTATCACTACGGAAGTAGGATTGCCCAACCTTCCTTCCGAGGAGTGGCTGGTGGGTTTGAACCGCCAGCCATCTGGTTAGCAGGCAAGTGTCTTAGCCACTATGCTACCAGAGCTCCCTACCAGTTACAATAGTCCTCTGGAAAGAAAAAATATTTGAACCGAAATGCTATAGTATTATCTAATATGGAAATGAATTTTTTAAACCCTCTATAAAGTTTGTCTGGAATATATTAAATTTATATAATAAAATTGTTATTTAGCATACATTACCTCCTCAATATGTATGGTCTAAGTGTGTTTAGTAAAAGAGTACTCTTTTTTTAGCATGTGAATGGATATTTAATGAATCTCTTGTATCTGCAGCTAAATATTTGTGATTTTTTGTTTGGTTTTGTTTTAGCACTTATAGTCAATATAATTCTTGATTTGTAATTGATTAGTAATATTTTCTTGATTAATAAATTGTCACCAAGAAATATGCTTTCATTTATTCATTTGGTAGATGTGAATCATTTGCACTGAGTAATGTTTATTTCTTGGGGTCTCTTGTTACTAATAATTGGCATAAAATCTGTGGGGTTTGACAATATCAGTTTAATTTTATACATGGAGTGGTAGAAAAATAAGTTTCTCATGTTAATCCTAACAAAAGGCAGGTAATAAATCTTTGATTTCAACACCATCATCAATAGATTAGGGTATTACTGAGAAAAGAAAAAAAAAAATTCCATGTTTTCTAGAATCTTTCCTGGCTTGCTTCTATGCATAGGCTATCTTTTGTCTTGGAAATGTTTGGAAAGAAATAAAGTAGTAATTATTTAACTTTAGCCTGAATTTTATAATGAACTATGTAAATGAAACGCAATGTTGTTACAATTACTAAGTTCTTTCAAACCACAAACCAAACGCACTGCAGTGGAGTTGGATCCAACTCATAGTGACCCCTCCTTGGGTTTCCGAGGCAGTATCACTAGGGAAGTAGATTACCCAACCTTCCTTCCAAGGAGTGGCTGGTGGGTTTGAACTGCCAACACTCTGGTTAGCAGTCAAATTCCTTAGGCACTACACCACATTAAGTTCTTGGAAGTGAAAATTTCATCCCTGGCAATTATTATCCTTCATTCCCGAACAAAAGAAACCCATCTCCCTGATAACTCTCACCTCTAGGGCAGCAACTATCATAAATTGACTCTCTGAAACAATTGGAGGCTTAACAATAACTTTAGGGGAAATATTGAAGTAATTCAGTTCTACACAGAAAAAAAAAGACATGTTAAAGATGTTTTGGGGCTTTCCCAGATGTCCGTAACATGAATTAATTTTTAATCCACAAATATTTATACATCACTAAAGTATGAAATCTTTTAAAATAAGTTAAAACAGCTAAAATATTGACTCAGGTTTTCTGTTGCAGTAAATTGATGAGCCATAGGTCAGAGTTAAAGTAACTCCTTTCCAATCATTTGAAACAATTCAGCTAAGAAGATTGCCATATCCTGCATGAACAATTCCCACATAAAATGACAGAACTACCAAACAAAAGACTATAGTATCAATAAACCCATCAGCTGAACTTGTGTTCTGTTTTCTTAGCTACTAAAAAATACATAACCATGAGTATGGAGGGAGGAATTTTGTCACATTTTCACCATGTAGAATAAAATTATGTTGATCATCCAGTTTTTCCTGGGGCAAATACTCAAAGTTTTAACTTTTAAATTCTAATATAACATTGTACTGTCTAAGGGGGCATCTGAAGCTTGAAAAGAGGAAGATTGTTCATGTTATTGGGATAACAGTGTTTGGGGAAAGCAAAATTTCTACGCCTCTTTTCTGACTTTGATCAGAAGACTATCCAGAACTTAATCTTAAATATTCAGGAATTTTTTACCATTCCAATACAGATGTGTGCTCTTTTGTGTTTCTCCAAGGGACAGATTATAATGGCATTAAGTTTATACTTAATATTAACCCAAACTGAGAGTCTTTCACTTGATTTCAGTAAAGACAATTTGTTTTCACTCTACTATTTATTTGAATCACTATCTGTAGACATTCTACATTCTATGTAGAATATATTCTACTTGGAACATATTTTCAAATAAATTATGCAGCATTTAAGTTTATAGTGTAGGAAAAATATAAAAATATGATGTTTTTATAGAGTTAATCACAAATGCTCTTTATTGTGAAAAATATTACTATTTAGATTTAAAAGGAGACATAACGATTCATACGAACTACTAAAACATTAAAGGGTAATTTCTGTGGACTACTATTCACCAAACTTTATTATTTTATTTTATTCTTTTTAGGGATTAAACAATGTTATTGCTATAGACTTTGATTACAGAGAAGAATTCATATATTGGATTGACTCTAGCCGGCCCAATGGCAGCCGCATAAATAGAATGTATTTAAATGGAAGTGACATTAAGGTAACTAGATATTATAATGACTGGATTTTGGACATTTTATTGTTATGGTTGAGTTGAATAGAAAATGTTATTTGATGGTAATGATACAGCATGTAAAATGTATTAGGTTGGTTTGAATTTCACAATGTGCACTATAAGTTAATAAATACTTGAAAATGAAATAGGAGGCTTTTTATTTTATGTTATTTCATTATGAAACTACTTCTTGCCATGAGATAAAATCAAATTGAGTCGATATTGGATTGGAATCTCAATCACAACCCTAAAAAATATTATGGGTGCTTTCCACTTCGAATGATTAAGCAGCTGAGATACAATTGTGTTGATTTAACCAAAAGAAAAAGTTGAGTCAAAGAATGTGTAATTGAAAAAAATTAAATATTAGTTCTTAGATTAAAATTATGGCATTACTAAAAATAACCTACTTTAGATGGAAGTAATTGAATGCATGTGCATAAAATCCTGAATGTTCTGGTTAGAAGGCATTATAATTAAATACATATTATAATTCTAGATATGAATTACTTGGCACATTTTCAGTGTTTTCCTGAATTTTAATTTACATTTATTTACACTGTATATACACACTAAAGTATATACTAAAAAAGTTATAAATGCAAGTAGATGAAACCCATCAACCACTTTTTACTTTTTTTTTAATAGACATCTAAAACATCATACTGTGATTTTTGGTAGAAGTAATCAATTTTGAAAATATTAAGGAAATCTTGAATTATATATAATCCATACCAAGCAGTTGTTTGTGTCTGGGTGATTCATATTTAATAATGTTTTACATGCTAAAATATCAGGATATTGAAAAGAACAATGAAAGAGATGATTTCTTTAATCTTTGACAATTTCTATAAAAACACATGAAGTTAAATTATTTAAATTTTATCATATATTTTATTACACAATATTTAAAATTTTGGTAATCTTTATATTTTTTTCTGAAATACTTTAATATGTATAAGACTTTAAAGTCTCTATTATCTTGCCACTTATCCCATTACTATTTTAAATAGTGTCATAACCTAAGGTCACATAATGCTTCATTCTTCCATCGAGATGAACAATTCAGTGATTTTTCTTTAAATAGTCAGCTATGCCAAATTTTCCAAATTTAGAATTCAAGTCAAAATACAAAAAAGATATCTTGCTATCCAGTATGGTAATTGATATCATCAATTGCTACAAAAGTTCATGTTACCACTTTCTTTGTATCTATTATAGATTATAATACAAATAATCTATTTGTATTATTATAACTATAGAATGATTTTAGTATTTTATTGATTCTAACTCTATAACTATTCACTTGTATACTGGATCAAGTTTCAAATACTTCCCTCATATGGTCCTGAAAGCACTGAGAACTCAAGAAATACCAGTCATATAAATCAAGAATCCTTTGTCATTTTGTATGTATCATATTTATATATATAAAGCCTATACTTCATTGTATTTATATTGACATAGGTTATAAATGAGCCTAGGACTTATATGAGTATATTTTTACCTCCCTTTTGTTAGGTTAAAAATGCTTAGTACACATCTGTCTTGTGTTTTCTTCTCTTCTTGATAATTTAAATTGGCAATAGTAGTTGGGAGAGTGTGAATTCTATTGGTATCTTCTGTACCTACCTACAGCATCTAGTTGAATCTTACTCATAGTGACTATATAGACTAGAGTATAACTATCCCATAGATTTTCCAAGACAGTAAATAATTTTTTCCTTTGTTTTTTTGGTGCAAAGGTACAAAACAGATTCATTTTACTCTAAACAGTTCATACATATTTTGTTTCATGGCACCAATTACAATCCCAAAAGTAAACAACACTTGTTCTGTCTCCTCCCTGTGACTACACCTTCCTTGTGTCTTCTTATCTATGCCTTCTAGTCTGTCCAGCTTTCTCCCTATGTTAATGCTGCCCTTCTGATCTCTCATGGTTGATTGATCTAAGGGGTGCATTTCCCTGGGGTTGTTGTTGTTGTTATTTGCCGTCGAGTCGGCCCCGACTCATAGCGACCCCTCCTTGGGTTTCCGAGGCAGTATCACTACGGAAGTAGATCGCCCCATCTTCCTTCCGAGGAGTGGCTGGTGGGTGAGTGCATCTCCCTGGGATACATGATGTTCTGCTAACACATAGGCCTTTCTAATGTTTGGCTGAAAACTAATTCATGGAAGTGAGTCTAATTCCAGGTCTGAAGAATAACCCAGGGCCATAGTCTTAGGAGTTTCATCAGTCTCTATCCAACTAGTAATTCTGGTCATTTTTGTGTTTTTGAATTCTGTCCCACTTTTTTCCTCCCACTCTATCCAGGATCAATAATTTTGATCCCTTTTGGAGTGGTTGGCATTGGTAGCTGGGAACCATTTAGTTCTTCTTATCTCAGGGTTTGAAGGCTGAGATTCCCTTGGTCCATTAGTCCCTTGAATAATTGTTTCTATATGACTTTGATTTTCTTCACTCTTTTCTCCAGATGAGGGGAGACCAATAGTTACATCTTGGATGGCTGCTTGAAAGCTTTTAAGACCCTGGTTGATACTCACCAAAGTAGGATGTAGAATAAGATTTTTATGTACTATTTTGTGCCAGTTGAACTTGATGTCCCCTGAGACTGGTCCCAAGCCCACAAGCCTGGTGCCTCATTCCCTAGAGGTGCTTTGTTGTCACTGAGAAACTACTCCAACCTTGACCCCTGTTAGTTCTATAATGTGTATGGATATTTTTGTAGCACAAATACACATGTAGGAATATCATCATCTGTCTATGCATCCTCCCGTAAACTAGTGTTTGTTGTTACTGATTATGCAGTATTGTGTATGTAATAACATTTGCCTTTATTGTCTATATGTTTTATGCACCAAAGCTGTAAATCTTTGTGGAATCCAACTGTCTTACAGAGTGGCTGGCGGGTTTGAACTGCCAACCATTTGGTTGCCAGCTGAATGCTTTAACTACTGTGCCACCAGGGCTCCTTGATATCTCTTCTAGAACCTGCTAAAGATAAATATTATCAGTAATTTCTGTGTGTGTGTGTGTGTGTGTATGTTTGTGTGGTAGTTTTTTATTTATTTTTCTGATCCCAAATTAAAAGAGACTACGTAAATACACTGTAATGAAAATGTGATCAACAATTGTGAAGCTATGCTAACATTTTGATTTTGGTGATTTTTTGCTTAAACCAGTATGTAATTTCTAGAGACCTGATTATATACTTGGTAATTTCTCATGAACAAGTAAGAAATCTTATTGGGGTAAACTGTTCTATTCTTATCTAAATTCCATTTCTAATGTTTAAATAGAATTCTTTGTAAAAATCAAGAAGTAATTGCTTAGTTCTTTTTCTAGGCATTTACGTTGTTAACTTGTTTCATTTTTATTTTGTTAGGTAGTGCATAACACAGCCGTCCCCAATGCACTTGCTGTTGACTGGATTGGAAAAAACCTCTATTGGTCTGACACAGAAAAAAGAATCATCGAAGTATCCAAGCTCAATGGCTTATACCCTACTATACTCGTTAGCAAAAGGCTGAAGTTTCCGAGAGACCTGACTTTAGATCCTCTAGCTGGGTTTGTAATAAATATTAAAAAAATTAAGTTAAAGATTAGAACTGTGGATTGCATTCAGTGTAATAAATCCAGTTGTACAAGTTAATGGCATGGAAATTCAGTGTAAAATACAAATGTGTAGAAATTCTCACTGAGAAATTGAAAAAAGAATGGTAATGTGACTGCCATGGTGAAAAAAATTAAAGTGACTAGATTTTACAATAACTATTTTTAAGTTTTTAACACACCTTTTTCCTTAACTAATCAATAAATGTATTTCAGAAATGAAAAATCATATAAATTTCCCTGAACTTAATGCCTTTAAATTTTGTAAGAAAGGCAGACTAAAAAGAAAGTCTAAGATCTTGTGCTGTAGTGTTGGTGGTAGTCACAGTTATGGATGACATAATATCTGATCATCTCTGTAAAATATAACAATATAGCTCATGTTGGAGCTGAATATTTGAATTTCATTGTTAGACTGTACACTAAATCATGTTCAGGACCAAGGATAATTAGCTGGAGATTTCAGATGAGGGACAAAAACACATGAAGGTGTTAGTGCTGGGTGATACATGGGTGTTAAATTCCATAGATTGTGGAAATAATCTTCATTTTCAATTCTGTTGTTTTGGCAGATAGAGAAGACATGTCTTTCTTTTTGGTTTAATTTATTTTCACTGTAATGTAGAGTGATTACATACTCCAAAATGACCTCTGCAAAAGTTCAGCCTATTCAATAAGTCTGGTAATAAAACAAGTTTTTTTTTTTTTTTTAAAGTTTGATTTTGAAAAACAGAGCACATTTTCAATATTAAGTGTTACAATAAACATAATGCTCTGAAATTGCTACTGTTTAAATTAATTTCTTATAGTATATTTCACCAAGACACTGCTTTTATCATAACATATATAACAATTATTTTTTAGTTTTTACTAATATCTCTGTTTTTTGTTCCTTCATGTTTATAATCGATAAAGTAATCATGACATAGTATATTTTATAGCTTAATTTTAAACATTAATTTGGATAAAAGCAATCCATAATGTGAGAAGTTTTATATTGAAAATGCATTTATGTTTCCAAGGAAATTGGCATGTTTTAACTTTTCATTATATATTTACATAATCATTTTGTTATCTTTTTAAATATTTTCTTTACCATTGCAACAGAAATTTCAAAAGAGTGTCAATTCTGTTTTACCTGAAACTGAGTAGTAACAAGAGAGTCTGTTTCAAGAAATAACAGCCAGATGCACTAAATTTGCCTATAAATTATATTCATAGTGCCTAAGGCACTTAACTGCTAACCAGAAGGTTGGCAATTCAAACCTACCAGCCACTCCTCGGAAGCAAGGTTGGTCAATCTACCTCCGTAGTGATACCACCTCAGGAACCCAACTAGGAGTTGGTATGAGTCGGGTCTGATTTGATGGCACATAACAACAAAAACAATAATATAACACATAAATAGACTATCAAACATAACCCAAAATGCCCAAACAGCATAAGAGAAACTAGATAAATAGGACCTTCTAAAATTTAATTTTTTATGTGCTTTCAAAAACTTCTCCAAAAGAATAAAAGGAGAACCTACAGATTGGGAAAAAATATTTGGCAATGACATATCTGATGAAGGACTTATTGCTAAAATTTATAGAAAACTCCAACACTTAAACAACAAAAAGACAATCCAATTAAAAAAAATGGGCAGAAGACATGAATAGACACTTGAACAAAGAGGATGTTCAGGTAGCCAACAAACACATGAAGAAATGCTTCACAATCATTAGCCATTGGAGAGATGCAAATCAAAACAACAATGAAATACCATCTTGCCCCAATACTAGTAGCAAAGTTCAAAAAGACAGAAAATAAAAAATTCTGGTAAGATTGTGGGGAGATTAGGACTCTCGTACACTGCTGGTGGGACTATCAAATGGTACAACCACTGTGGAAAACAGTATGATGTTCCATAAGAAGTTGGAATTAGAAATACCATTTGACCCAGCCATTCCATTACTAGGTATGTATCCTAAAGAAGTGAGAGCCAGGACAAGAACAGATATATGCACACTCATATTCATCACAACACTATTTACAATAGCCAAAAGATGAAAACAACATAGGTTCCCACCAACAAAAAAATGGATAACCCAACTATGGTACATACACACGATGGAATACTATGTAACCCTAAAGAATAATATAGAATCTACAAAATACTACATAACGTAGATGAACTTGGAGGACCTTATACTGAGTGAAATAAGTCAATCACAGAAGAACAGATACTGTATTAGTCCATTAACTCTAAAAAGTCAAGGAAAGGTTTATATATGGAAGGAAATTTTCTTAGTTGCTTACCAGGGGTTGGAGGGTAGGGTAGGGGAACACTGTTACATAGATAGAGACAACTATTGATTTGGGTGAAGGGAAGGGCAATGTATCAAATGTGAGTGATCAACACAGTGGCATTGAGGATAAGGAAGACAAAGAGTGGTGCATGGGAGGTACAGACAACAAAGATGAACCCTTTTGAACATACAGTACAGTGTTGTCAGTGATGGCAAACATTGATTGATGGGTGGATGGATGGGTGGACAGGCTGAATGATTAGGTATGTATGAGCATACCCATGATCATGTATAGGGTTGGCAGACAGTGTTTCTACAAGTGTATTTGTATATTCTTTAAGAATTTCCAGGTGTATAGTAGAGCTATAGGAGCTCTGGTAGCATAGCCTAAGGCACTTGACTGCTAACCAGAAGACTGGTGGTTGAAACCCACCAGCCACTGGTTTCAACTGCCAGCCACTCCTCGGAAGGAAGGTTGGGCAATCTACTTCTGTAGTGATACCACCTTGGAAACCCAAGGAGGGGTCTCTATGAGTCAGGTCTGACTCGACGGCATATAACAACAACAGCAACAACAACATTTTACCAAGTATTTTTGAGTGGCCAAGCCATCATCTCCTTTTTCAAAAAGAATATGGCTAGCTTAGCTTCTCATTTCATGCTATTTAAGATGCTTCACTTGTTAAATGAAAGAAGCATTACTCGTTGATAATTATCTGATAAAATTTCCTGCTTATGCAGCAAAAATTGTACTCTAGCCTAAAGAACATAGGTAAATCTAGCTTTAGGTTTTATTTTTCCCAGGTTGTATTTATTACTCCATAACTGAAAGCAATCCTAAGTTATAATCAACATAAAGCCATCTATTAATAGTGTCAATTAAAACAACAATGTGCTAAATTATTGTAGATGTTAAGAAAGACTTACTTGATTTCACTTGAATAATATTTAGATTGCAATATGGATATGCCACATTACAACCATTGAAAGAGATAAAAATTCAATCTTATTATGAAATAACTAAAGCCATATATTCTAATAGATAAAATTTAATACCTTGTGTTCATGTTGTTTTCCTAGTTCCTCAGAGTGAGACAATAGGGGAACCTGGATTTAGCTTTTGTGTGATGAGCCTCAGGCTGAAAATGCCATAATTGTGTAAAGTATCGAGCAAACCTGCTTCAAAATAACAGCTTAAATTGTTAAAATATTTCATAAAAATCCAATTGAGTTTGTCTACATAAGAGTGCCACTTAGGATCTTGTATATATTTAAAATATGCCAGTAGCCACTGTTTCCTTGAGAAATGTGAACTCTGTCCTGATACAGTATGAGGAACAGGGCAGGGATATTTTTAAATGTAGGATAAGGACCACTGGATAATCTAAAGTAATGAAGTAACTAAATTTTAGGGAAGTAGGATTTTTTCCTCCTTTGTTTCTATATTTTAATAATATCATGTCAATTGATACACAATTTGGATATGATTATTAGAAGAATGGTAAAAAAAAATGTAAGCCAGATAGGTTATTTTCCTAGATATCACATTTAAATCTAATTAAAATACTAAATATTCTTGTTATCCTAATCATTTTCTAATCTCATCTAGTTTGGGAATGGGTGTTGTAAGTCATCATATATTCTGATTAATTGATTTCATGATTTAAAAGAAATATTTATAAAATTTATCATTTATGTGGGATCTGTTTATACAGTTTAAAATTATATTATTATTTTGGATAATTAATATGTCACTTTAGTTTATCATTACTACGATAAACTGAAGTTTATCATTACTCTGATACTGAAGACTATCATGAAAGATATTAAAATGAATGGATGATATGACCAACCAATAAGGAAAAACACTCCTCTACTCGTTTATTTATTCACTTCATATTTCTTCAGCATTTAGAATGTATCTATTCTACTATTCTAGGTAAAAGTATAAAAGTAAAAGACACAGTCTCTGTCGAAAAATATTTAACAAACTAGTGGGTAGGGAAGGAGCTCTGGTAGCATAGTGGCTAAAGCACTTGACTGCTAACCAGAAGGCTGGCGGTTCAAACCCACCAGCCACTCCTCGGAAGGATCCTACTTCCGTAGTGATACTGCCTCGGAAACCCAAGGAAGGGTCGCTATGAGTCGGGGCCGACTCGACAGCACATAACAACAACAACAATAGTGGGTAGGGAAGTGTGTAAATAATTAGAATAAAATGCAATAACTCTTATAAGAGAGAGAAAATAGAATAAGCATATATCTCACCTCAGATCAAAAAGTTTCTTGGATAAGAATGGTGAAGTAAGAATTAACGAGGTGATAATAGTGCATTTGGGGCTGGCAGTATTTCAAGTAAAAACAGCAGACTTCCTGGGGAAGAACAGACACATTGCAAAGTGTGGGACATTCAAAGAATTAAAAGAAACTTCTATGATTATAATTAAGAAAGGATATATAATTAGTTAAGGATTTTGGAATCAGTTCACTGTACAGAATAAGGCATCTACAAATAAAAAGCAAAACAAAACAAAAAACTACAAAGTTCTGGCCTGGACAACTGGGTAAATAAGAGAGCAATTTCTTCAGAGTATGGAGGATACAGGAAAAGAGGCAGATTTACAAAAAAGAATGAGAAATTTTTAGGCCTATTGAGGTGGTGGT